GAATAGAATAGAATAGAATAGAATAGCTATTGGAATAAAGAATAGAAAAGAAAAGAAAAGAAAATAATAAAACAAAATAAAATAAAATATGGAATGCAATGGAACGGAATGGAACAGAACAGAATAGAATAGCAGCATTGGAAGGGACCTTGGAGGTCTTCTAGTCCAACCCCACTGCCCAGGCAGGAAACCCTACACCACTTCAGACAAATGGTTATCCAACATCTTTTTTCAAAACTTCCAGTATTGTTGGAGCATTCACAACTTCTGGAGGCCAGGAGTTCCACTGGTTGATTTTTCTCACTGTCAGGAAATTCCTCCTTAGTTCTAAGTTGCTTCTCTCCTTGATGAGTTTCCATCCGTTGCTTCTTCTCCTGCCCCTCAGATGCTTTGGAGAATAGCTTGACTCCCTCTTCTGTGGGGCAGCCCCTGAGATACTGGAAGACTGCTATCACATCACTCCTAGTCTTTCTTTTCACGAAACTAGACATGCCCAAGTCCAATTTACATACCCAAAGATAAAATTACGAAGCGATGAGGTAGAATTCGATCTGCAAAATGTTCACTAGAACATTAAAATCTTTCCTTTCTTTTGCTATGCTTTGACGGTTCAGGATGCCAGGATTCCCAAGACCGAAGAACAAGTCAGTGACATCCATTTGACTCCAGCTCCTTATTTAGTTATATTGAATGGACAGAATCTTGCCAGAGTAAAATTATAACCTTCTAACTTAATAGACATAACTTGAGAGACCTAGGCTGTGGCTACTCTAAATCTCTTCTTACTTCCCCCAATCCACTTAAGTCTCTTGTTTTGAATCCCTGGAATATGGAATGTGCTGACTCCTCTGTGGGAAACTGTGATGTTCATACCAGAGAAACTGCTCCCGGATCCCTCCTGATGTTTTGCTAACGTAGACTAACACAACTCTCTTCCTACAATGTCAGCCAAGGGACGAGTAGCCCTTACAAGCTGATTTTTCATTCCCAATGAAGCAAGCAGTAAATGTAAGGTAGTAAACAATATCCCTGAAACAATCGTTCATATTAAGGGTGGAGATGAACTGATATAGTCAATCTGAATGCTTGACGTGTATCTTTTCAGGTATATCTATCACAGCCCATTTTAATGCAGAGACATCAACATTTATATCACTCCCGAGAACTGCAAGTCTATTGGGGAAAAAGGAGAGGTTGTGACTGAAGATTCTTAGGGTGATTTAAGTGATTTAATTTCCTGTGACTTGTAGAGAATAAAAATCAAACCGCTAATGCAGTGAAGTCAAAAGTACAGCCGGCTGATAAAGCCTCAGTTTTCTACAAACAACTAAACTTGTCTATGTTTAAGAAACCACTGAAGATAGCTTCAAGCAATCACTTGTTTTCTGACTCAGGAATTGCAAAATAGAAGAGAATATTTACAGCTCAGAGTTGAACTGTGAGGAGTTTGGTGCTCTCTGAGCTTGGTTTTTTCCCTCCCTTGCAGACATTTCATTATCCAACTAGGTAGCATCATCAGTATAGAAAGGAGTATGAGGTTTGCTCCCTGTATAATAGCTGGCCATAGCTATATTTGTGGGGTGTGATTTTTTTTTCTTGGTAGTTCATTGATTAGGGTATTGTTCTCTTCTTGATAGTTCGTCTGGTGTTAATCCCTGCTTCTTTGGACGTTGGCTGCTGGAGATGATATGTCTTGATCTTAAACAGGCAGCAAACCCCACACTCACTGTGCATTGATGTTATCTAGATGGGCAACGAAGCATCTCCAATGAAACAACCAAGCTCAAAGTGCACCCAGGACTTCAGAAAGACGAAATAGCCAATTGGAATCTGGCTTGTTCTTCGTGTTCTTCAAATTAGGGCAATTTTCCTAATTTGCATGAAGGACAACTGGCTGTGAATGATGAGATTTGGGGAAGGTGCAACGTTTTTTCCCCCTCCTTGGTAGAACTGGGCTAACAGAGAAGGACTATTAGTCACCCAGTTAGGTTTCACACCTAAGGTAGAACTAGAACTCGCCATCTCCTAGTGATTGGCTCGATGTCACCCAACCAGTCTGTTTTCACGGCTAAGGTGAAACATGAACTTACAGTCTCCTGGTTTGGATTGACCCAAAATCACCCAGCTTGTTATCATGCCTGAGGTGAAACTAGAACTCACAGTTTCCTGGTGATGCAAAGTCATGGCTAAGGTGGGACTTGAACTCACGGTTTCCTGCTTTCTACTGTGGTGCTGTAAGCACTAAACCAAACTGGTAGGTGCTGATATTGCATTTCCGCAGGATCTGAAGAGTGATAGTCCTTCTCTAGCTCTGTCAATTGACATCCGTTTCTCTTATTTCGGATAATACTTTCAGTGGCTGATCCATATCATGGACATTTGATCAGCCATTTAAAAGTCTACTCACCATCCATGGCTTCATCTCCTCCAAACATCTGTCTGTAACATAGCATCAGCTCTATATTGTAGCACTTATAGATGGTTACAAGTAAAACCAGTAAGAGAAATATAGCTCCCAAACCTCCAGCAAGTTCAATTCTGGAGATCAGATCTAGAATAAGACAAGAAATAGGTTAAAAAATGGAATGATTTAGCTGGTCTTTTCTGGCCCCAGAAGTTAAGATCAGGGATGGTTGAGATGTGGATGAGACTACCAAGGAATTCAAAGCTTGGGAAGCTGAAAAGAAAATATTAGAAGAAGACAATAGCCAACTGCTCCAGGATGAAGTCCATGAATATATCCACAAAGTTAACCAAGAGTCAAACTTGACTCAAAAGAAGATCTACGGCAGGGGTCTTCAAACTTGACAGCTTTAAGACTTGTGGACTTCAACTCCCAGAATTCCTCCTCCAGTCATGTTAGCTCAGGAACTCTGGGAGTTGAAGTCCAACAAGTCTTAAACTTGCCAAGTTTGAAGACCTTTGGTCTACGGAGATTCTCAATCATCCAAGTCATGGTTGCCCCCAAACGGCAACTGGTTTTTCTTGGTTTACTCCCTTTCAAAACATTTTGCATCTCATCCAAGAAGCTTCTTCGGGTCTTCTGGGGTCTCATTCACCACCCTCCCAAATTATTTTCATGCTCTGTTGAAAAATTGCCAATAGTAGAGTAAAGCCAGGGACTCTACAATAGTAGGGATGCGGTGGCTCAGTGGCTAAGACTCTGAGCTCGTCGATCAGAAAGGTCGGCAGTTTGGCAGTTCGAATCCCTAGCGTCATGTGATGGAGTGAGCTCCCGTTACCGGTCCCAGCTTCTGCCAATCTAGCAGTTCGAAAACGTAAAAAAATGCAAGTAGAAAAATAGAGACCACCTTGGTGGGAAGCTAACAGTGTTCCAAGCATCTTTGAAGGCGTTTAATCATGCTGGCCACATGACCACGGAGACGTCTTCGGACAGAGCTGGCTCTTTGGCTTTGTAATGGAGATGAGCACCGCCCCCTAGAGCTGGAAACGACTAACATGTATGTGCAAGGGGAACCTTTACCTTTAGAGTAGAACCAAAGGGAACGTGTCATGAAATGCTTTTCAAAACTCCCCAGTGGAACAGAAAGGGGAATTATAAAAATGTTCTCAACCCCGTCCCCCCGATTTAGCTCACTTCTTGCTTCTGGCACCCAACTGTGGAAAGTCAATATGATTCATGACAACCATAACTCAATGCCAATGGGAGAGCCTTATTAACAGACAGACATATCATTTGAGACCCTGCATCGTAACCAGGGGGCATTCTTAATCTTGCTTCCTAGTTCACCCACTCATTAAAGAACCACAGGACACGTTTTCGAAAATTACAAAGATATGGGGGGAAAAACTTAAAATAGAGATAGAAATAAGAGGGGAATAACAGTTTATATATATTAATATACCAAGATTCATGAAAGAATAGGAGGGAGGATTGGGCTGGATAATTACCTTGTATTTAGTACGGTAATATGTGTACTAATAGTAGAAATATATGGATTGGGTGATTGGTATGAATAGATGTATTTAAAATGCTTAAAGAATTGTGATTATTATTAGAAGTGTATATTGAGATATGGGTCAATGAAAGAAAGATGGATGAAACTTTAACAAAATAGAGGGGAAGACATAAATAAGGGAAGTACGATTAAAAAGACACATCTTTGAAAATTATAAAGATATTGGAGGGAAATATAAAATAGAGATAGAAATAAGAGTGGAATAACAGTATGTAATAGAGTAATATACCAAGATTTATAAAAGAATAAGAAGCGAGGAATGGAAAATAAAGGGCAGAAGTATAAGATATGTGTAAACAGTATGAAATAATGAAATGTAATAACTGGGATTAATAACACTATGTCCATTTGTATTAAAATGTATGATACCCAGGTATCATGCCATTCATGCAATGATATGTACAAAGAATATAAAATAAAAAAAACTTGACAATTAAAAAAAAAGAAACCACAAGAACACTTTGAGACTTTGAAAAACGATATTAATTTAATACTCTAGCTCAGCCCAGATATTTATTGCCATGATAAATAAGCAATGTGAAAGGCATCCAACTCAAGACACCATTAAGAATAAAAAGGGGAAATAGAACGCTTCTCCAACTTGGATGAGTCTATATATCATCGACATCACTCTGAACTTTACACAGCTTTGCACGCAGTCGAAGTTCACGGTTAACTTTTCTTCTTGAAAGCTTTTTGGGTTCTGCAATTAATGGTGGGAGTTCACTGCCTTCTTTCCTTCCAAATGTCACGAATAAGGTACACCTTTGGATCAATAAAGGGGGAAGTTTAGAAGAACACGGAGATTCAATGCGGTGCCTATTTTCTCATCTAAAGCTTCTCAGAATCCCTGGATGATGTCAGACAAGCCACAGTTAAGTTTCCGGCAGGTGTGACTTTAATCTCCTGCTCTTTGGAGGTGTATCAGACGTCTTTCGTGACAAATTGTCCATCGATTCGGAATGTGGGTCTCTTTGTCTAGCCCTCCAGGGGTGGGCTTCAAAAATTTTAGCAATGGGTTCTTGGCTCGGTTGCTGGGTGGGTGTGGCCAGGGTGGGAGTGGCCTAGTCAGCCTCCTGCACCATGGCGGGGGGGAGGTTTGCCCTCCCCGGACTCCTGAGGCTTTCCTCGAGCCTCTAGGTGGGAAAAATGGCCTCCCCAGGAGTGGGATTTGGGGGTTCTCTAAACTGCACAGAATCTTAGCTAGGGGCTCTCCCGAAACCCATGCAAACCCCCAGCAGCCCAGCCCTGGTTCTCTCTAATCACAACCTAGAACCTGGTGGGTGTCTCTGCTTCTATAGCAGGAGTAGGCCATCAAGATTTTTTAAGCTACTAATACTTTCGATACTTTACAGTACAGAACAGACACTGTGTTGAACCTCCAATGTTTAGGATTCATAAGGCAATGTCCTTTCTCCCAACGCCCACCCATCTTCAGGAAACAAACCCCACTTCTCCACCGTAAATATTAAAGAAATCCCTTGTGTCATCAGTCCTTTCAAGCTGCAAGATGTCAGATTAACAGAGTAGGAAGGGACCTTGTAGGTTATCTAGTCCAACCCCCTGCCCAAGCAGGAGATCCTACACCATTTCTGACCAATGGCAGTCCAATCTCTTCTTGAATGTCTCCCACAACTTCCAAAGACAACTTCTGTTTCATTGGTTGATTGTTCTCACTGTCAGAAAGTTTCTCCTTATTTCCAGGTTGAATCTCTCCTTGTTCAGTTTCCATCCATTGTTCCTTGTCTGGCCTTCAGGGGCTTTAGAAAATAGCTTGACCCCGTCCTCCTTTCTGTGGCAGCCCCTCAAATATTGGAAGACTGCTATCCTGTCCCCCCTGGTCCTTCTCTTCCCTAGACTAGACATGCCCAGTTCCTGCAACCGTTCATCCTATGTTTTAGTCTCCAGTCCCCTCATCATCCTGGTTGCTCTTCTCTGCACTCTTTCTAGAGTCTCAACATCTTTTTTTATAGTGCAGTGACCAAAACTGGATGCAGTACTCTAGGTGTGGTCTTACCAGTGCTTTACAGAGTGGTATTAGTATTAGATCTGGTTGGTCAGGAGCAGAAAACCCTTGAACCAAATGACAGTACTTCTTCTTCCAACAGGTTTTGTTGATTAATCTTCTGTTGATGTTCACCATGCTACCTTTCTCTCCCCTTCCTTTTCTGCATTAGAGGCAAAACATGCCGAAAGAGCCTCGGTGGTGCAGTGGTTAGAGTGCTGCATTGCAGGCAACCTCTGCTGACTATTGGCTGCCTGCAATTTGGCAGTTCGAATCTCACCAGGCTCAAGGTTGACTCATCCTTCCATCCTTCCGAAGTGTAAAATGAGGACCCAGATTGTTGGGGGCATTATGCTGACTCTGTAAACCACTTCAAGAGGGCTGTAAAGCACTATAAAGCGGTATATAAGTCTAAGTTCTATTGTTATTGCAAAGAGCCCGGCCGTATATCACATCTGAGTTGGAACTGTGCAGGGGAGCAAAGAGAATCAGCTTGGAGAAGAGTTGAGGAGGGAAAGAGTCCGTGGTGGGATTAAAAAAAAAATTACTACCAGTTGTATGGGTGTGGCTTGGTGGGCGTGGCAGGGGAAGGATACTGCAAAATCCCCATTCCCTCCCTACCCCCACTAACCTGCTTTCCAGCTCCGTTCTCCTCTGCAGGGCAACAAAAGAAGACCCAGCCAATCAGCTGGGACTCGGGAGGCGGAGAAGAGATGGGGGTGGGGCCAGTCAGAGGTGGTATTGGCCGGTTCTCCTAACTACTCAAAATTTCTACTACCGGTTCTCCAGAACTGGTCAGAACCTGCTGAATACCACCTCTGCCAAGAGTTAAATATCCCATTGTACCCTGCCACACCATCTCCGTTGTAAATTTTCCCTCCATAAATTACTTTTCATGCCACTCCTGGACTCCATCTGGGACATGCGTTTGCATGCAAACAGGTTGTTAATTCCAAGCACTCCTCCTTACTTTCATGTCTATCGACAGCCAAACCAATTTCCTCGTATGGATTGAACAAACTCTAAAACACCCAACGAGACTCTGATTTTGCTCTCAGCGTGTTCTCCGAGAAAGAAAGCATGTTCAGACAGCATAGGAAGTGGCAGAAAAATCATTTTTTATAAATTGACCAGGTTGGTTCAAGAGAAGGGGGGGAAAAAAAAAACCCAGTAACAAAAGCCTGTGAAAGTTAATAATAATAAGAAAATCTATGCTGTGAAGGAACATATCCAACCTTTGAGTTGAATAGGAAGGAGGAATTTGGAAGCAGCGGGCCCCACTTCGATGTCTCTTTATTGATTTGTTTTGCATATTGCACGTCGTTGCACTGCACCATTGTTTAATAGTAGCTTGGAGAAGACTCTCCAATTTTATTCATTCATTCATTCATTCATTTATTCATTCATTCATTCAATCAATCAATCATAACACCACTCATCATATAACTGAACTCTGGCTGCCAATAATTGATTGAGAGAAAACAAGCGAGCTAAGTCAACCCATCCAAAACAAACTACTTTATGGCTTAGGATAATGCCAAAGCAAACTACTTCGTGGCTTGGGATATTGTGCGAATTCAATTAAAACTAGCGTAGCACAGAAGGATGGAAAAACTGTCTTTTCCTGAAGGAAAAGCCTTCAGAAGCAACTATTCGATCCAGCCAGTCAACACCCATTATTTTCATTCTGCAACACCATCCAATTTAAAAAAAAAAAATCCAGTCTTTTCAAAATGCAGGTGTGAATGGATAAACCATTTTAAAACAGGATGCAGTATTCCACGTGTGGCATTACCAAGGCATTATAAAGTGATGCTAACACGTCACGTGTTCTTGATTCTATCCAAGTTCCAGTTAAGCTGATTTTGTCAGCTTTAGAAGCCATATTTTAATTAGAAGCTTCGAGGCTGCCACATTTAGTGTCTGGGAATTTGGGAGGGTGGATTTCACAGAAAGGTGGAAGATTAGACTCAACAACATTCTTTCTCAGAGAGTCAAGGACATGTTGCCCTGCACCTGGAGGGGAGTGACTGGAAGGATGTCACCCGTTGGGGCGAAGATTTGGTGGTGGGATTCAACATTTTTTATTACTGGTTCTGTGGGTGTGGCTTGGTGGACGTGGGCAGGGGAAGGATACTGCAAAATCCTCATTCCCTCCCCACCCCACTAACCTGCTTTCCAGCTCCGTTCTCCTGTGCAGGGCAACACAAGAAGGCCCAGCCGATCAGCTGGGACTCAATGGGAGGCAGAGAATAGAGGGGGGCGGGGCCAGTCAGAGGTGGGATTGGCCGGTTCTCCAAACTACTCACTACCAGTTCTCCAGAACTGGCCAGAACCTGCTGAATACCACCTCTAGTTGGAACGCTGACCAATTTATTGCTCATGCCTGTACAGAAGAACCTAGTCAGCTAATTGCCAACACAAAATTTGCGCTAGATAAGAGTCGATGGAATTCAGGAGGGGTTGAACTTGGAGAGGTTGTGAGCATGTAGTGATTCTAGGCTGAGTTCTCTCTTGACTCCCTCCACAGGCTCTGCCTCGTCTCCTACATCAACCAAGGAGTACCTTAGGCATATGCCAGACTTCCGCTGCCCACTTTGTCCTTTCAATTTCTCCTCAACCCCAAAATAGAAACGAACAAAGCTCCACATTTTTGGCCCCACGTCTTTATGAGCCTCCAGGGGAATTTTAGGCACCATTTTCATACCTCACTTTAAACATTCCTGACAGCACCCTCAACCACCATTGCAAATGATGAGTGACAATAGGAACCGTGGTCCCCAATTCTCGAAAACTGAGTATAAGACACCAGCAGAATAACTAAAATCCCCATCGGTACAACAAGAGTGATTTCACCGCATTTCATTTCTTGGCCCATTCAATTCCGGAAGGAATATAGTACATATATTTTCAGGATGGGAAAATAGCCTCCTTCATTTCTTCAGAACTCGCAGCTACGTTGATGGAGACAGGAGGGAAAAGAAAAAAAAAAAGGAAGAAAAATACCTCGTTTTCTCAGAATGATGCTCGCCTGTTTCTTCCCATTTCTGTTTTCGACATGGCATGTGTAATTGGCTAGGTCTGCTTCTTTCACAATGTCAAAGATTAATGTTAACTCCACAATTTTTTCTCCAAGGTGCTCTTTGAGGAGCCTGAAAGAAAACAGAAAAACACGGGAGGGTTCGTCAGCAGGCCAAAGATAGATGAGATACTGTTGTGGCTTGTTGGCCTCCAGGCCCTCCTGCAGTGGAATCAGAGGAAGAGGAGGAGGAGGAGGCAGCATGGCAGTCTGGCAGTCTCCTGCACAGACCCCACACAGCATGGTGCAGGAGGCCAACTAGGCCACGCCCACCATGGCCATGCTCACCCTGCAACCGGGAAGAGAACCCATTGCTAAAATATTTGAGCCCCCGCCCCACCGGATGAAAGCACTTTGAGAGCAGTACTTCGAGACTCATCAATCACCCAGGTCTTGCTTTTCCAAAAGGCGGGTGGGTTTTTGTTGTGGTTTTCAGGAAATGCGAGCAACGTCGTTCTGTACCTGATTTCGCCTTCTTTAACATGACTTTCCAGTTCTTCGATAAATTTTTCCCCTCGCGTCCAGTAGATCATGGGGCCCGACTCGCCGCTGAAGCCAAAAAACGCTTTGCAAACCACATTGAGGGGTTGACCTGGAAAGCAACGACACAGGAGGGGAAAATAAAATGATAGTGATGCTTATAGTGGCAAGAGAGCACAACAGCCGTCAGTTCACTTCTGAAAATTTTCAGCTTGGAATGTATTTTCCGCTAGGAGAGAGAGAGAGAGAGAGAGAGAGAGAGAGAGAGAGAGAGAGAGAGAGAGAGAGAGCGCCCCAAAGGACTGTCTGGTCGGGAATAAACAGAGTAAGTTGTAGCAAGTGAATTCATTACGTGGATGTAGTGGGACACGCATCCCAGTTAAAAAGGTTTTGGTTTCTTTTTGTTTGTTTTTTAGAATAAAATAAAGTTTATTTAAGATTCATACATTTAAAACATTTAAAAACATACAAATATATAAACAAACATATAAACAAACATATAAACAAATATAAAAAATATATATATTCACTCTGAGAAGCACAGAGCTGAAGACACAAGCCTGAAGATGATGAATGAGACTTCATCGAAACATCGCCTAGATACTTCCAATCTTACGCGGGAGAAAACCCGAACAACCAAAGATCCACAAATATATGTACATATATACATTTTACAGCAGGTATTGAGCGATGGTTACACCCATTTTTTTTAATCCCCCTGACATTGACGTGGTCTACCTTGTTACAGTACCTTCCTCGTTCTTTTAATGTTTTAATTTCACGGAATATTTTATAATTAAACGCACGTCTTCCATAATTTCATATCTTATCCAGTTGTCAAATATTGCCTTTTCTTTAACCATTCATACCAGCAATTCCATGTTTTACAGTAATCGCTATCTTGATTATTTTTTTAGTAATTTAGTTAGGCTTATCCATCTCTGTGCAAAACTGGTAGACAATTTCCAATTTTTGTGCATAGCTTATTCTGGCTTGGTCTTGGTTTCTTGATGTGTCAGCTGGGCCAGCTTTGACTAATAAGAAATCTTAAAGGTTTTGGCTGGCGGCATAGAAAAAGAAGGAGGGGCAAGATGCTGAGAGACCCTTAGTTATACGCCCTCTTAGTGTTTCCTGTTCCTGTGCAAGAAATGTATCCCATTGGCTGTCAGACTCCCAGGGGCGGGGGGGGGGGTCTTAGCTAATTCTGTAGGCTTTGTCTGGACCACATGGCTTCACCGGAGTGCTGGCTGATGCAATTTTCCCACACCAGGTGGTGAGATGGGTAGAGGCCTTTGTCATGTAGAATACTCTGGCCCAGGATTTAATGGCCCGCCCATTAACGAAGGTGGGAGAGGGGGTTGAGCTTCTGCTTCTGAGGTGAGTTTCTGCTTCTCTTTTAGTTTTGATCTACTTTTCCTAAAGGGTCAAACTCTCCTACACCATCCGCAGTTGAATTTCAGCCGGGATCCTTCTAGGAGGAGCCGAAACTCCCGAAAGCCACAAAGGTTATTCACCACCCCCACCCCAAATCCTTACAGTAGAGTTCCAAATCCTTATTAAAAGTCACTGAGGAATTACAGTTTCTCACGGGTCAGGAAGAACTCTTGATTAAGTCAAGATGGTGATTGTGACGTATGAAAGAAAGCCTCGTCCCTTCTAAGCGCGTCTGCAATGCGTCACCACACTGGCACACCATTAAAAAGCCAAAAAGTGTTACAAGACTCTAATTAATACAAAACATACTGAGCTGAGATTGACCAGAGTCTCTTTTTGGCCCAGAGTTATCTTTCCTTCCTCTCTCTTTACCTCCCTCCCTCCTTTCCTCATTCTCCTTTTTTCCTTTTCCTCCCTCCTTCCCTCCCTTTTCCTTCCTCCTTCCCTCCTTCCCTTCTTTCCTTCACTCTTTTTCTCCTTCACCTTTCTTCTTTTCCCCTCCTTCCCTCCCTCTTTCATCCTTCCTCCTTTTCTTGTTTCCTCCCTCCCTTCTTCCCTCCCTTTTTCCCTTCATTCTCCTTTCTTCCTTTCCCTCCCTCCCTCCCTCTTCATTCCTCCTTCCCTCCTTCTCCTTTCTTCCTTTCCCCCCTCCTTTCCTCCCTCTTCCTCCTTCCCTCCCTCCTTTCCTTCCCTCCTTTCCTCATTCTCCTTCCTTCCTTTTCCTCCCTCCCTCCCTCTTCTCACCACTGCTGATTTGAACTGGACGTACTTCTGAGTCAACCCAGCCATAAGATACTCTGAGAACATGGCATCTCCTCTTTGATGTCTATGATCATTGGGTAAAGCATAATTTTGGAGCTGAGATTGATTAGAGCCAAGATTACTTCTCTTCTAGTTTAGTTTAGTTTATTCTCATTTCATCTCGTACAACGAAATCAAACACCATTTTCAGTGTACATCATGACCATGAAAATAAACACAAACACACATCCTTGTCTCCGTACTACGAAAGCAACTGGTTCACCTCATTTAGGCAGACTCATCTCCCCGGAAAGAATAGGATTTATTTTTTATTTTTTATTTTTAAAAATGGAGAACTTCTATTGCCTATTTACAAGGGAACAAAGGCATTCCGCGTTTCCATAAGAATCTGTCTCAGGCACATAAGCATGTGACATCTCTCTCTTTTTTTAAAAAAATAATAATAATAATAGGAAACGGCACTTGCCGAGATGCGCGGAAGGGTTTTTAAAACTTATTCATAAGAGTTTTTTGGTCAATCAGAATGAACAGCTTCTGCCCTTTACGGGGCCAGCCCTGCTGTGCGGTAAGTACTGGTTGAACAGCTGGTTCTGCGTGTTTTCTATTCAATGACCCAGCAAGATTTCTGTTTGAAACTACATAAATAAATAACCGAGAGGAAATGAAAAATACTCCAGAGAGACATCTAATTTCTATAAATGCTAAGCAAATTTCCTGAAGAGATTCTCATGGTTAGAAGGAATAACAAACACATACAGAGAGAGATATGAAGATATTGCATATATATATATATATATACATATATATGTGTATGTATGTATGTATGCATGGGTTTTTCACTTTGATATATATATATAAATACACACACACACACACACACACACACACACAAAGTAAAAACCCATGCACAGCAGGCACACTTCTGCCTGTATATTAAGAAGACAAACTTGCACACAGGGGCTCAAATGCCTTTCCTTAAACTGCTATTCGGAGCTGAATTTAAGAGGAAAATAGTTTCATCTTTCCCATATTTCCTTCCTTACATCCTCCCTCCCTCCTTTCATTCCTCCCTTCTTTCCTTCCCTTCTTCCCTCCTTCTCCTTTCTTCCTTTTCCTCCCTCCCTCTCCCCTTCCTCCCTCCCTCCCTTCCTCCCTCCCTTTCTTCCCTCAGCCGATTTGAACTGGTCATCCTTCTGAGTCAACCAGGCGATAAGATGTTCTGAGAGCATGGAATCTCCTGATTAATGACTAATGCTTGCAGTCGTTGGGTAAAGCATAACTTTGGAGCTGAGGTAGATTGGAGCCAAGGTTGCTTCTCTTCTCGGCCCGGGGACATCTTTGGGACTTTGAAACCCCGACGGAATGCCTGACATAGCGGGACTATTTGGGATAGCCAGGGTGGGTATGTCTATTTCCATCAGACCACGTCCATTTTCACCACATGACTGCAACGGTCATAAGTGCACCCACCGGTCATAAATCACTTTTCTTTCCCGCAGTGCCATTTTAACTTCAAACAGTTGCTAAGAGAAAAATTGAGGTCTACCTAGCTTCTGAATCCAGGCAAGGCTGCCACCTGCTGAAACCTGTACCGGTGGGGTGGATCCGACAGAGAATTCTTTATTGCATTTTATTTGTTTGTCAAACATGTACAAGATACCAAGCAGAAGTATGAACATAAACAAGAACAAAGGGACTAAATACAGATCAGTAGGGACAGCGAGACAGGGATGGTAGGCACGCTGGTGCGCTTATGCACGCCCCCTTTAAGGACCTCTTAGGAATGGGGTGAGGAGGTCCACCGTAGACAGTTTGAGGTTGGAGCTGTGAGGGGTCGACTTTTCTGTGAAAAGGGAGAGCCAGGAACACCCCCCCCTAATTTCTGCCTCCAATAGCCCCACCTTTCTCTGCCATGGCTAGGAATGCCCTTGCCATCCCTTGCCATTTATTCAATGGCTTCAGTTGGGTGGCGTGGAATGACTCTCCTCTCCGTTGTAGAATGCCTTCAGATGAGATGGACCACAGCTGGTGTTGGCCATTCATGCATGGAAAGAAGAAGACTTCCTAAAGCGGGGTGGTCAAACTCGATTTCCTGGAGGGCCACATCAGGGTTGTGTGTTTGACCTTGGAGGGCCAGGGGTGCCTGGGTGGCTGGGGAGGGGCGTGGCCATGTTGAGCGTGGCCAGCTCAATTTCACTCATGTTGGGGGTACCTGTGGTGCCAAGTGCTAAGGCAGGAGTTCCCTGAGACTCTCATTATAATCCCCTTTCTTCCTTCCTTCCTTCCCTCGTCCCTCGTCCCTCTCTTTCTCTCCTTCCTTCCCACCTTCCTTCCTTCCCCCCTCATTCCTTCCATTCTTTCCTTCCTTCCTTCCTCCTCCCTCCCTCCCTCCCTCCCTTCCTTCCTTCCTTCCTTCCTCCCTTCCTCCTTCTTTACTTCCTTTCCTCCCTCCCTTCCCTCCTCCCTCCCTCCTTCCTTTCTTTCCTTCATTCCCTCCTCCCTCCCTTCCTTTCCTTCATTCCCTGCTTTCCTTCCTTCCCTCCTTCCACCCTCCTCCCTCCCTCCTTCCTCCCTCCCTCCCCTCCTTCCTTTCCTTCCTTCCTTCCCTCCTTTCCTTCCTTCCCTCCTCCCTCCCTCCTTCTTTTCTTCCTTTCCTTCCTTCCCTCCTTCTTTCCTTTTCTTTTTCCTTTCCTCTTCATTCTCCTTTCTTCTTCCTTCCCATCTTTCCTTTTCCCCTTTCTCCTGTCCCTTCTTGCATACTGAAATGCAAAAGGGGAAACATTTTTCCTTTTGCTTTCTTTTTAGTTCGTTTTGCTAGCCCTCTGCCAGCAAAAACAGGGTGCCGGGCCAGATTTAAGCACCCCACGGGCCAGATCTGGCCCGCGGGCCTTGAGTTTGACACCCCTATCCTAAAGA